GTTATTTCATTCTTTTGGTGGTTCACTTGCTTTTTCCAAATACCATGGCAACTTGTGCACTCAACGGAATAATGGGAGTGTTGGTTTTTTACATTTTTTAATCCTTAGTGACTAACAATATCTTGGTAGAACTGAATGAGCACTCTGGTGTACAGGCTCACAAACTGACATACTCTATAAAAATATAGAAATATAGAAATAAAACACACATCAAAGGAATGTTATATATATACATTGCAGAACAACAGGGTTAAATTGCATTTAAGGAACAGTTGGGGAGGCAGATTAATCTGGCAGCAATGAAGCGAGAGCTGGGAGCTTCGTAAGGTCGTTTGTGGGGGGTAAAAAAGCATGTAGTTGCTGATTTAGGAGGCATAAGAAGAAGAAGGAATTGGTCAGAGTTTTCGTTCATGAAAGAATGTAAGCTTATCAAAATGTTACTCAGTTAAAATTTATTGAAAATTAGCTGCAGATCCTAGATTGTAGAATTACCATTAGGTAATGTAGAGGGTGGGAGGGAGGAGTTGGGGGTGAAAGGAGAAGGAGTGTGTAGCTGGGGACCATGTTGTGCCAGTTGTTTCCATCTTGATGGGGGTTTTAAGTAAGCCCAAGCTAGGCTCTATATGTGGTGTGTTTTCTTACCAGGGTAGGGTTGTTTCTCCGGTTAGCCATGGGTCCCAAGTTTTGTGGAACTTTTTGGGTGTCATCAGAGACATTAGTCTGTCCATGTTAACGCTGTCTTGTATCTTTTTGGCAATGGTAGTTTGTGAGGTTATGTTTAGTGTTGACCATTGTTCCGCTATTGCTCTTCGTGTTGCCAGTGCTATGTGTGCTATTCGTTTGCTCTCTGCTATTGTGAAAGAGTCCAAGGGTTTTAAAAGTAAAAGTGCCCACAGGCCTAGGGGGCATGGTTTGTTGGGCAGTCCAGAGATTAGTGTTGTGATGCTTTGGCATAGGGGTTTTAGTTTGGGGCAAGTCCACCAGCAGTGGAGGAAAGTCCCTACTTCACCACATCCCTTCCAACATTGATTAGAGGCAGGGCCGGACTGGCCCACCGGGATACCGGGAAATTTCCCGGTGGGCCGTCGGCACCTGGGGCCGGGCAGACACCTGGGTCTGCTGTCGGCCGCTGGGGAGGTCTTCTGGCGGCCGCTGGCAGACTTGTCCTGGCGGCCGCTGTGGGAGCTGCGCGAGCTGCGCTGGCTCTGCTCCCCAGCGCGCAGCTGAATGAGACTGGCGCCAGAATATGACGTCATATTCCGGCGCCGGTCTCATTCAGTAGCGCGGGAGGGCAGAGCCAGCGCAGCTCGCGCAGCTCCCCCAGCGGCCGCCAGGACAAGTCTGCCAGCGACCGCCAGAAGACCTCCCCAGCGGCCGACAGCACATGTCCCCCAGATGCCCCCAGAAGACCTCCCCAGCGGTAAAAGGCCCCCAAGAAGACCTCCCCCTGGCAGGTATAAGTAATGTGTATGTCTGTCTGTATGGTGTGTGTGTGTGTCTGTCGGTCTGTATGGTGTGTGTCTGTCTGTGTCATGGTGTCTGTCTGTATGGTGTGTGTGTGTGTGTCTGTCTGTCTGTGTCATGGTGTCTGTCTGTATGGTGTGTGTGTGTGTCTGTCTGTCTGTGTCATGGTGTCTGTCTGTCTGTGTCATGGTGTCTGTCTGTCTGTGTCATGGTGTCTGTCTGTCTGTATGGTGTGTGTGTGCGTCTGTCTGTCCGTCAGCGGGGTGTGTGTGTGCGTTCGTCCATCGTATGGGGTGTGTGCGTTCGTCCGTCAGCGGGGTGTGTGTGTGTGTTTGTGTGTCTGCCCGTCCACTCATGCGTGTGTGTGTCTTCGTCTTCGTCATTCATGGGGTGTGTGTGTGTGTGTGTGTGTCCGGGCCGCGGTGTGTGTCTGTCTGTCCGGGCCATGGGCGTGTGCGGTCGTCATGGGTTGAGTGTGTGTCTGTCCGTCATGGGGTGTGTGTGTGTGTCTGTCCGTCATGGGGTGTGTGTGTGTGTCTGTCCGTCATGGGGTGTGTGTGTGTTTGTGTGTCTGTCTGTCATTCATGGGGTGTGTGTGTCTGTCCGTCATGGGGTGTGTGTCTGTCTGTCCGTCATGGGGTGTGTGTGTCTGTCTGTCCGTCATGGGGTGTGTGTCTATCTGTCCGTCATCGGGTGTGTGTGTGTCTGTCCGTCATGGGGTGTGTGTGTTTGTGTGTCTGTCTGTCATTCATGGTGTGTGTGTGTGTCTGTCCGTCATGGTGTGTGTGTGTCTATCTGTCCGTCATGGTGTGTGTCTGTCTGTGTCATGGTCTGTCATGGTGTGTCTGTCATGGGGTGTGTATCTGTCATGGTATATGTGTGTTTCTGTGTCTGTCATGGTGTAAATGTGTGTTTATAAATAGTGTTTTTGCTCACCTTTTTTTTCCCCCACGCAACGTGCTGGTCTCCCTCGACTGGCCCTGCCTCTACAGCTGAGATCATCAAGCTTGATGATCTCAGCCAATCCAATGCTTTGCCATAGGATTGGCTGCAAAACGCCACTCCAATTAGCATCTCCTCATAGAGATGCATTGAATCAATGTATCTCTATGGGGAACGTTCAGCACCTACAGAGTGTGGAGGCCCTGAATGTAGGTGCACTAACACAGGAAGCACCTCTAGTGACCGTCTGAGTGACTGTCACTAGCAGTGTCACTTTGAAGCAATGTAAACACTGCCTTTTGTCTGAAAAGTCAGTGTTTATGTTGAAAAGCCTGTAGGGACATGCTATAGACACCAATACCACCACATTAAGCTGTGTGTGTGCGTCTGCTAGTGAGTGAGCTTGTGTTTTTATGTCAATGAGCTGATGTATATCAGTAAGATTGTTTGTCTATGAGGCTGTGTATCAATGAGCTTGTGTGTGTCACTGAAATGTCAGTGAAATTGCCTGTGTCTGCATGTGCGTATGCTTACTGTATAATTAAACGTTTTACCCTGAAAGGACCAATATTTTATATTAGAAAAAGCAATATATATATATATATATATATATATATATATATTACTCAATCATCTGTCCTGGCAAGACATAGCCTTACATATTACACGCGACAATATATGGCGCAGTGACTTATGGGGCCGGCACAAATTTTTTTTCCAGGGCTGCTTTGTATCCCCAGTCCGGCCCTGATTAGAGGGTGCTTGGTGCATGATAGCTAGGCACTGGGGTGTGAGGTACCAATGAAATAACATTTTGTATGTCTGTTCCTTGTGTGTTACGCAAATGGATATGGAGGCTGTGGCCTCCCATATGTGCGACCAAACAGAGGGTTCGTCTGCGGGACCCAAGTTTTTTTTCACATGCTGCTATGTATGGGAGTGTTATTTGAGTTATGTGGGTCGCTAATGTGGTGTACAGGTCAGAGATTTGTCCCTTTCTAGAGGGGTGTTCCAGGATGCGAAGCTTCTGAGCTGGATATATCGAAAGTAGTTGTACGTTGTAAAGGTAGTTTTGTCAGGGATGTCTTTGTATTCTATGATTTTGTTATGGTGGTATAAGTGGCCCAGTCTCGAGATATCTCTCAAAGTTAGCAAAGTGACTTGGTGTGTGGCCGGGTGTGAAGAGTTTATTCCTCCAAATGGGGGTCATGGGGGACAGGAAGGATGACAGCTCAAATCTGTCTTTCAGTTTGTCCTATAAATCTAGTGAGAAGGTGATTGTGCGAGATGTTGGTGGGGGTAGGGGTCGGTGTGGACTGGGGAGCAACATATATAGGGATGGGTGTTCCCATCCGAACATCATATGTTCCAGATCCACCCATCTCTTTTTGTTAAGTGGGAGGTGCCATTGTTGGAACTGGGCTAGGTGCGCAGCTGCTAGATAATGCGCGAAGTTGGGGAGGCCCAGGCCACCACATCGTTTGGGGACGTATAGGATTGTTTTACATACTCTGGGTTTGTGCCCATTCCATAGGAATGGTATAGGGAGGTCTGGTTTGCGGAATGGTATAGGGAGTGTCTGGAAGATATAAAGGAATCTGGGTAGGAGATTTATTTTGATAGAGGTGAGGCTCCCCAGCCAGGAGATCCCCAAGGCCCACCATTGGGTAAGATCTTCATGTGCTTTGCGTAGTAGGGGGGATGTAATTTGTCTCGTATAGTTTTGTCACATCATTAGTGAGTTGGATACCTAGGTAGGTGATGGATGAGTGGCAGATGTGTAGAGGGAAACGTTCTCATAAACATTTTAAATGCAGCTTTTCATTATTGACTGGTAGGAGTTCTGACTTCGTTAGGTTTAGTTTGTATCCTGATATTGAAGAGTAGCACTGAATGAGGGCCAACACGGTTTCAATTGATTTTTCGGGGTTCGTTATGGTCAGTAAGGTGCCGTCTGCATATGCTGAGACTTTAAAGGTTTTGTTTCTGACCCTTATGCCCTCTATTTCCCAGCTGGAGCACATCGCTGGCAGCAGGGGCTCCAGGGAGATTGCAAACAGAAAGGGAGAGAGGGCAGCCTTGTCTTGTTCCGTTCAAGATTGAGAATCGGGGCGGTTTTATGTTTGGGAGGAGAAGTGCTCCATGAGGGTTATGATAAATGGCTTGTATCAAGGATATGAACGCCTTTGGAAATCCATATCATGAAAGGGCTTGGTACAGAAAGGACCATAGGAGGCGATCAAACGCCTTTTCGGCGTCCAGTGCAATGACTGCCATTGAGATGCTTCTGTGTTGCACTCGACAAAATTAACTCTATACTGTGGTGGGTGTTATCTGACGCCTGTCTATTGGGGATGAAACCAACCTGATCTGGGTGAATTATTGATTCTAGAAGTGGGTTGAGTCTGTTTGGTCAGTAGCTCAAGGTCAACGTTAAGGAAAGAGATGGGTCTATAGTGTTCTGGTTCTGTGTGGTCTTTGTTTGGTTTTGGGAGAAGGCATATGTGCACTGTGACCATATCTTCAGGTAGTGTGTCTCCCTTCAGCAGGGCGTTAAACACTCGTGTGACGTGTTTCAGGAGGATTTGACTGAATTATTTATAGTATAAGGCAGTGTACCCGTCCGGGCCAAGGCTCTTATTATGTTTGAAGGCTGCGAGGGCCACTGCCATTTCTTCTATTGTGACTTCTGCTTCAATCATTGTCTGGGAAAGCTTGGGGAGCTCTAGAGTTTCTAGGAAGTTGGTGATGGACGATCGGTTTGTGGGATCGTAATGGAGTGATAATTGTACAATGCCGTGAAGTATCTCTGGAATACCTCGCCTATGTGATCTGGGACATTGTCCCGTAATAAGTCCCATTGGGGTACGTATCTTATCGATCTGTTTTGATTCCATTTTGCGTTTTAGGTGGCGTGCTAGCATAGAGTACACTTTGTTTCCTTTTTCATAGTATTTTTGTTTTAGCCACATCAGGGCTTTTGCTGTTTCTGATTGAGTTATCTGCTTCAGTTAGTCCCTGATTTCATTTACTTGGGTAAAGGTGGTCGGTTGAGGATTTCTTTTGTGCCTTATTTCTAGGCTACACAGTTCTGTCAGGGCACCTGTGAGTGGCTGTTGTTGTTGTCGTTTTTTTGCCGTAGCTAAGTTAAGTATGTGTCTCCTTACAACTGCTTTGTGAGCAGCCCATAGGGATACAGGGGAGGTCTTCCGGTTGGTGTTTAGTTCAAAGTAATCTATGAGGGTTTTGGCAATTTTGTTGATCACTTGTTTGTCATGTAGGAGTAGTGGATTTAACTTCCACGTCCATTGTCGCATGGGATGGGGAATAGTCATGGTGAGCGATATGTCGGCATGGTCAGACCATGAGATTGTGCCAATGTCTGTTTTGGTGATTTGTGTGAGTAAGCGTGGAGAGATCAGGAAGTGGTCAATGCAAGAATAGGAGGCATGTGCGTGAGAGTAGAAAGTGAATTCTCGAGTGGAGGGGTGATACGCTCTCCAAACGTCAAGTAGGTTTTATGTGGCTAAGAATTGTGCGAATAGGGTGTCGTTTCTGTTTCGGAGCTGAGTCTGGTTACGCGCTTTCCTGTCAATTGCTGGGACGTGTACTGCATTGCAGTGTCCCCCAATTATGAGGGGAGTGTTAGAGTACTTTCTTAGGTGTTTCATGTATTGTAGACAAAAGTCATGGTCCGGGTAGGTTGGGCGTATAGGGAGCTAAAGACGAAGTCAATGGTGCCTATTTTTCCTGTCACCGTGATAAACCATCTGGGTTTGTATGAGTTTTATACTGACCAGACACAATTTGAGAGTGCTCTTCAGGTACTGATTTAATCATGAGTGATCTTGGGACTTACTTCGATGTCCACGTGTGGCCTAGTGGAGGCGTAGAGTGGGGGAGGCAGCGGCTCTCCTGTTCCGCTCACCACAGCTCTGACAGAGTCCTTTTGGTGCCCCATTCCCCCCTGGACTGGTAAGTGTTATCCCTGTCCCCACTGGGCCCAAATAAATATCTCCAGTGTGACACACAGAACACTACAACTTGCCTTATCTGTGACAAGATGGCAGATGCTTGCCTTCCTTGCAGGCAGTGTTTGTCACCATACCAGCTTGGTGCTATTGAAG